GCGTCACCTGCCTTGTTGGGAGACACTCGATGGTTAAAAAACTATTTAATTTTATTATCATTTTCATTATCCCTGGTTTTCCTTTCCCCGAGGTGAACATACCACCTAGACAGTAGGCATTTCCACTCATCCCTTAGTGAACACAGGAGAGTAAAGACATTAAAACCACTTCAGGAAAATTTCTTCCCCCTCTCTCGCCTCGAGAAAAAAAAATCACAACGACGCGTGTTTCAATAATGGGGCGAACCCAGCAGTGCGCCTGCGGGACGCCAGTATCATTAACCTGATAGTGGTAAAAGTCTGCCTCCCTTCCCGTGGTGTTTCGTGTGCTGCGCCTTTTAGAGGTGCAAACCGGGTTACTCACCCTCCAGAAATCAGTTCCTCGTATAGTCAACCACTCGCTATCTTTAAACATTTAGAAGAGTTTAATCCTGTTTTTTCAAATAAGTTTTGAGTGATTTCTTCTGGGAATACCCCTTTCTGCACCGTATTTAAAACCATATTTAAAATTTAAAGTTTGGTTATAATGCTTCGCTACATGTTTTTAGACTCTTATTTCCTATAAATGGCTGTAGGTTTTATCACACCTATTAGAGCCTTTTTTTTATAATTGATTTTTTTTTGCCGTTTAAATGGCTGTTTATTGTGTTCCTTTACCATCCTGGGATGGGATGGTGTTTATTTTGGTACCCCAATCCATCCTGTGGATTTGGGGGGTAGTTTTTTGTGTCCCCCATACCTCCCGTGGATGGTAGGGTATTTATTGTGTACCTATTCCTCCCGTGGATGGGTTTGGGTAGTTTTTTTGTGCACAACCAGGTTGCACCAACGTTTAAAGTACTCTTGCAAGGCAAAAAGTTGAGCCATCACAAACGTGCTAGCATTTTTTGAAACATCCCAAAACGACAAAAATTTAAACACCCTGAACCTAATGCAGAGGTTTTCATTATCCCCGGGGAGGCGCGACAAAACGTATGTAGGTGAAACAGGGAAGTATTCGAAAAAAACTCAAGAACACATTTTAAAGCAAGTAGGAAGGGTAGCAAACAAAACCTGCGTGCAAAAACCCGGGAAATTCCCCCAACCCCTGTGAAATTCAAAATGCCTGCTGGTGATTAAAGAACCTGTTTCCGTAGCGAAATTTCCTTGAAACATCGTAATCGAAATTTCAACACAGTTTTAAAAAGAATAAAATAACTGCACATCTCTGGGGTTTTATTAGTGAAAAACCCCTTCCCTAAAAAAGAAAGGTCATGGAAAATGGTCGATTAATGGGGGTTCAAAGTCTACGACTACATTAGGGGCTTTTGGGTTTAATGTCACCCGTTCACCCCAAAAAAGAATAAACCTTAAAAGTGGAATTAAAGTTACTCAACATATAAACGCTGAAGAAATACACCCCTCCCGGGTACTAAAGAACAAGTGGCACAGTACCGTGAATGGAACGATAAACAAAAAACGAACTAGATAGTTATAAACCTGAAATTTTTTTAAAGGGGTGGACCCGGGAGGGCCCGCGAAAAACCTCGGCAGAAAAAAAAAAACTCCAAAGGGAGCTCATCATCTAAGGCCCGGCCAGGCACATGTCTGTTTCCTGACAAACCTTACCAAAACCAAAAAACAAATAACCCTCACACAGGACCATTTACAAAGTCAAATTTCTTATCATGGGTTATATTTAACCATTTGTAGTAAGAATTTAATTTCTTGTGCCCAAATCGAGTTGTTTTTTAATTTTTTTGATGAGGCTGATTGGCTCAGATTTTACTTACAATATTGCGTTGCATCCTTCTGGTTTTTTTTTCTTAATGGTTTATAATTATAATAAAAATTTTTTAAAAAAATGGGTGGAGGGGGAACCAGTGGAAAGGGCCCCGGTCGATACAAAAGCGTCAGGAAACACTTTTCCTGTTTTGACAATTCTTACCGAAAAATTTGTACATTTTCCTTCGAAATTTATGAGCCAAATTAATTGATAAATTTATTTATGTTAAATTAAAATGGTTTTTTTTGTTCAGAAGACCCAAATGTATGGAAACTAACCAAATATTTTGGGTTGGGCTATATGTTTCGATCCGTTTTGGGGTCCTCCAGAGGGAGTCCCGAAGGGGGTCAAAAAAAAAAGATCAATTTTTCCTGAGTCATTTAATAATATCTTTTTTTTCTATATTACAAAAATACAGACCTACTGACACAGTGACATACTATTATGAAAATCACTTTTTATCTGGCATTTCCCCAAATTAGGTCAGTTTTGTCCCAGGATGGACCCCCACCAGTCTCTAAAATCCAGGTACCATTTACTGTGGGTGAACAAGGCAATCGACACCATGCTAACCCTTCTAGGGTGGGTAGGTGCCTAGCCCCAGCCTTTAGCTCATAAGACTGTCCCTTCCCCTTAGCCTCCTTAGGGCGGGGATGACAACCAGGGGGCCTAGCTTGTGGTAGGTCTGGGGCGTTGGCCCCAAAAATGAGGGGTACTTGTGCCTCCCCCATGGGGACTTGGTTTCCACTCCTAAAAGGGGCCAAGGCGGGCCACCCCTGGAAAAGGCCCGGGCCCGGGAAAAATACCCGCTATCTTTAGTAATAATTTAAAAATAATAATAAAATAAAGAAAATAGGGCCCGGGGGTAAGGAAAACATCCAATGTTTCTTCCCTCGCGGGAAAACGAAAATTTGGGCTTTTTTCCCCTGTGAAACAATAGCTTTTAACAAACAAGCCAAGGGGGCCCCGGGTTTGTCTCCAGTGGGTTTATTTTTGAGCAAAACAAGTGTTATTATACTTTATTTTTCCATGTGGGAAATTTTTTTTCTTTCAGTTATCCCGTTATTAGGAACGACTTGAAACCAAAAACCCCGGGGGGTGAAAAAGGACTTTGGATGATCTCATGATGTATTTTTTCACAAATTTCTGCGGGCAAAAATGAAACTGATTTAGTAAAGGGTTTCTTTTTTTTTAAAAAAAACAAACCCTTTTCCCTCTCCTCATTCTCCCAAAATGAGACGACTCCTTCTCCTCCCTCTACACTGAGACGACTCCTTCTCCTCCTCTAACACTGAGACGACTCCTTCTCCTCATCCTCTAAAACTGAGACGACTCCTTCTCCTCATCCTCTAACACTGAAACGACTCCTTCTCCTCATCCTCTAACACTGAGACGACTCCTTCTCCTCATCCTCTAACACTGAGACGACTCCTTCTCCTCATCCTCTAACACTGAGACGACTCCTTCCCCTCACCCTCTAACACTGAGACGACTCCTTCTCCTCATCCTCTAACACTGAGACGACTCCTTCTCCTCATCCTCTAACACTGAGACGACTCCTTTCCTCATCCTCTAACACTGAGACGACTCCTTCTCCTCATCCTCAAACACTGAGACGACTCCTTCCCCTCATCCTCTAACACTGAGACGACTCCTTCTCCTCATCCTCTAACACTGAGACGACTCCTTCTCCTCATCCTCTAACACTGAGACGACTCCTTCTCCTCATCCTCTAACACTGAGACGACTCCTTTTTCTCATCCTCTAACACTGAGACGACTCCTTCTCCTCATCCTCTAACACTGAGACGACTCCTTCTCCTCATCCTCTAACACTGAGACGACTCCTTCTCCTCATCCTCTAACACTGAGACGACTCCTTCTCCTCATCCTCTAACACTGAGACGACTCCTTCTCCTCATCCTCTAACACTGAGACGACTCCTTCTCCTCATCCTCTAACACTGAGACGACTCCTTCTCCTCATCCTCTAACACTGAGACGACTCCTTCTCCTCATCCTCTAACACTGAGACTCCTCCTCCTCATCCTCTAACACTGAGACTCCTCCTTCTCCTCATCCTCTAACACTGAGACGACTCCTTCTCCTCTTTCCTCTAACACGGAGACCCCTCTCCTCCTCATCCTCCAACACTGAGACTCCTCCTCCTCCTCATCCTCCAACACTGAGACTCCTCCTCCTCATCCTCCAACACTGAGACTCCTCCTTCTCCTCATCCTCTAACACTGAGACGACTCCTTCTCCTCATCCTCCAACACTGAGACTCCTCCTCCTCCTCATCCTCCAACACTGAGACTCCTCCTCCTCCTCATCCTCCAACACTGAGACTCCTCCTCCTCATCCTCCAACACTGAGACTCCTCCTCCTCCTCATCCTCCAACACTGAGACTCCTCCTCCTCATCCTCCAACACTGAGACTCCTCCTTCTCCTCATCCTCCAACACTGAGACTCCTCCTCCTCCTCATCCTCCAACACTGAGACTCCTCCTCCTCCTCATCCTCCAACACTGAGACTCTCCTCCTCTCATCCTCCAACACTGAGACTCCTCCTCCCCCTCATCCTCCAACACTGAAGACTTCCTCCTCCCTCCTCATCCTCAACACTGAGACTCCTCCTCCTCCCCCATCCTCCAACACTGAAAATCCTCCTCCCCTCATCCTCCAACACTGAGACCCCTCCTCCTCCCCCATCCTCCAACACTGAGACTCCTCCTCCTCCTCCATCCCCCAAAACACTGAGACTCCTCCTCCTATCCTCCAACACTGAGACTCCTCCCTTCTCCTCATCCTCCAACACTGAGACTCCTCCTCCTCCTCATCCTCCAACATGAGACCTCCTCCCCCTTTCCTCCTCATCCTCCAACACTGAGACTCCTCCTCCTCCTCCATCCCCCAAACACTGAGACTCCTCCTCCTCCTCATCCTCCAACACTGAGACTCCTCCTCCTCCTCATCCTCCAACACTGAGACTCCTCCTCCTCCTCATCCTCCAACACTGAGACTCCTCCTCCTCCTCATCCTCCAACACTGAGACTCCTCCTCCTCCTCATCCTCCAACACTGAGACTCCTCCTCCTCCTCATCCTCCAACACTGAGACGCGAAATATCCTAAAATAACAAATAACTTTTTTTTAAATTAAAAATGTTACCCTAAAATACGTAACTAAATAAAATATGGGAAACTAATTTAAAACACAAACCTGATCACTAAGAATTTATTTACAAATATATATGATATTCCCAGATTTTGAAAACACCAAAGATGAAATCAAAAGCTTACTTGAGGTATATGAAGAGAATCTGACAGCTTACAAAGCTGAAGCTGATAACATCACCTCCAGCTTAACTACGAGGCTGGACGACCTGAAAAATGGTAAGTGGTAAATGGCTCACAGTGTAGGAATTGTATAAGCAATTCCTACACTGGTTTATACAATTCCTACATTGGTTTATACAATTCCTACATTGGTTTATACAATTCCTACACTGGTTTATACTTATTTATTATTATTATTAAATATTCGCCGGTATTCTCCCGGCCCGGGCCTTTTCCAAGTGGTGGCCCGGCCTTGTCTCCCTCTCTTGGGAGTGTCTGAGACCTAAGTCTCCCATGGGAGGAGGCACAAGTACCTCCTCATCTTTGGGACCAACTGTCCCCAGGCCTAGCCACAAGCTAGGCCTCTCTGGTCTGCCATCCCCGCCACAAGGGGGCTAATGGGAATGACAGTCTTATGAGCTAAAGGCTCGGGCTCAGGCACCTACCCTACCCAAGAAGGGTTAGGCATGGTGTCGATCACTGGTTTATACAATTCCTACATTGGTTTATACAATTCCTACATTGGTTTATACAATTCCTACATTGGTTTATACAATTCCAACATTGGTTTATACAATTCCTACATTGGTTTATACAATTCCTACATTGGTTTATACAATTCCTACATTGGTTTATACAATTCCTACATTGGTTTATACAATTCCTACATTGGTTTATACAATTCCTACACTGGTTTATACAATTCCTACACTGGTTTATACAATTCATACATTGGTTTATACAATTCCTACACTGGTTTATACAATTCATACACAGTGTAGGAATTGTATAAACAATTCCTACACTGGTTTATACAATTCCTACACAGTGTAGGAATTGTATTAACCAGTGTAGGAATTGTTTATACAATTCCTACACAATGTAGGAATTGTAGGACTTATACGTCTAGAAGTGTGTGTGTGTATTACATATATCGAGAGATTTGTGTACCTACACTACAAGGTGCATATATGTGTATATATACATACAGAGGTCTATACCATGTCTGTATATATACACCAAGTGGTGTATATTCCAGCTTAAATACTCTGAGAAGTGTATACCTCTACGTACATACACAGCCAGGTGTTGTTTCAGAGTATATATGTATATCGTGTGCGTATGTCTATGTATACTGAGAAGTGTATACCTCAGTGTATATAGTGATAATATAATTTAATCTCTGCTTAAGAAATAAACGTCTGAGTTTATCAGATATTCTAGACTTAGTTAATTTTATAATGTACCCCATACCCATCCTGTGGGTGGCAGTTACGCCATACCCATCCTGTGGGTGGTAGTTACACCATACAAATCCTGTGGGTGGTAGTTACGCTATACCCATCCTGTGGGTGGTAGTTACACCATACCCATCCTGTGGGTGGTAGTTACACTATACAAATAATGTGGGTGGTAGTTACGCTATACCCATACTGTGGGTGGTAGTTACGCCATACCCATCCTGTGGGTGGTAGTTACACCATACAAATCCTGTGGGTGGTAGTTACGCTATACCCATCCTGTGGGTGGTAGTTACACCATACCCATCCTGTGGGTGGTAGTTACACCATACCCATCCTGTGTGTGGTAGTTACCCTACACCCATCCTGTGGGTGGTAGTTACCCCATACCCATCCTGTGGGCGGTAGTTACCCCATACCCATCCTGTGGGTGGTAGTTACGCCATACCCATCCTGTGGGTGGTAGTTACGCCATACCCATCCTGCGGGTGGTAGTTACCCCATACCCATCCGGCGGGTGGTAGTCACCCATACCCATCCCCTGGGCGGTAGTCACCCTATACCTAAACCCTGGGCGGTAGTCACCCCATACCCATCAACTGGGCTGTAGTCACCCCATACCCATCCCCTGTGTGGTAGTCACCCCATACCCATCCCCTGGGCGTTAGTCGCCCCATACCCATCCCCTGGGCGGTAGTCACTCCATACCCATTCCCAGGGCGGTAGTCACCCCATACCCATCCCTTAGGCGGTAATCACCCCATACCATCCCCTGGGCGGTAGTCACCCCATACCCATCCCCTGGGCGGTAGTCACCCCATACCCTTCCCCACGGTGGTAGCTACCCCATACCCATCCCCTGGGCGGTAGTCACCCCATATCCATCCCCTGGGCGGTAGTCACCCCATACCCATCCCCTGGGCGGTAGTCACCCCATACCCATCCCCTGGGCGGTAGTCACTCCATAAACATCCTTTGGGCGGTAGTCACCCCATACCCATCCCCTGGGCGGTAGTCACCCCATACCCTTCCCCAGGGTGGTAGCCACCCCATACCCATCCCCTGGGCGGTAGTCACCCCATACCCATCCCCTGGGCGGTAGTCACCCCATACCCATCCCCTGGGCGGTAGTCACCCGATACCCATCCCCTGGGTGGTTGTCCCCCTATACCCATCCCCTGGGCGGTAGTCACCCCATACCCATCCCCTGGGCGGTAGTCACCCCATACCCATCCCGTGGGTGGTAGTCACCCCATACCCATCCCCTGGGCGGTAGTCACCCCATACCCATCCCCTGGGTGGTAGTCACCCCATACCCATCCCCTGGGCGGTAGTCACCCCATACCCATCCCCTGGGCGGTAGTCACCCCATACCCATCCCCTGGGTGGTAGTCACCCCATACCAATCCCCTGGGTGGTACTCACCCAAACCCGTCCCCTTGGCGGAGTCACCCCATACTATCCCCTGGGTGGTAGTCACCCAATACCCATCCCCTTGGCGGTAGTCTCTCCATACCCATCCCATTTGTTGTAGTCACCCCATACCCATCCCCTGGGTGGTACTCACCCCATACCCATCCCCTGGGTGGTAGTCACCCCATACCCATCCCCTCGGCAGTAGTCACCCCATACCCATCCCCTGGGCTGTAGTCACCCCATACCCATCCCCTGGGCGGTAGTCACCCCATACCCATCCCCTGGGTGGTAGTCACCCCATACCCATCCCCTTGGCGGTAGTCACCCCATACCCATCCAATGGGTGGTAGTCACACCATACCCATCCCCTGGGCGGTAGTCACCCCATACCCATCCCCTGGGTGGTAGTCACCCCATAACCATCCCCTAGGCGGTAGTCACCCCATACCTATCCCCTGGGTGGTGGTCACCCCATGCACATCCCCTGGGCGGTAGTCACCCCATACCCATCCCCTGGGTGGTAGTCACACCATACCCATCCCCTGGGCGGTAGTCACCCCATACCCATCCCCTGGGTGGAAGTCACCCCATACCCATCCCCTGGGCGGTAGTCACCCCATACTCATCCCCTGGGCGGTAGTCACCCCATACCCATCCCCTGGGCGGTAGTCACCCCATACCCATCCCCTGGGCGGTAGTCACCCCATACCCATCCCCTGGGCGGTTATCACCCCATACCCATCCTTTGGGCGGTAGTCACCCCATACCCATCCCCTGGGTGGTAGTCACCTCATACCCATCCCCTGGGTCGTAGTCACACCATACCCATCCCCTGGGCGGTTGTCACTCCATACCCATCCCTTGGGCGGTAGTCACCCCATACCCATCCCCAGGGTGGTAGTCACCCCATACCCATCCCCTGGATGGTAGTCACCCCATACCCATCCCCTGGGCAGTAGTCACCCCATACCCATCCTCTGGGTGGTAGTCACCCCATACCCATCCCCTGGGCGGTAGTCACCCCATACCCATCCCCTGGGTAGTAGTCACCCCATACCCATCCCCTGGGCGGTAGTCACCCCATACCCGTCCCCTCGGCGGTAGTGACACCATACCCATCCCCTGGGCGGTAGTCACCCCATACCCATACCCTGGGCGGTAGTCACCCAATACCCATCCCCTGGGCGGTAGTCACCCCATACCCATCCCCTGCCGCGGGTAGTCACCCCATACCCATCCCCTAAGCGGTAGTCACCCATACCTATCCCCTGGGCGGTAGTCACCCAATACCCATCCCCTGGGTGATAGTCACACCATACCCATCCCCTGGGCGGTAGTCACCCCATACCCATCCCCTGGGTGGTAGTCACCCCATACCAATCCCCTGGGTCTAAGTCACACCATACCCATCCCCTGGGCGGTAGTCACCCCATACCCATCCCCTGGGCGGTAGTCACCCCATACCCATCCCCTGGGCGGTAGTCACCCCATACCCATCCCCTGGGCGATAGTCACCCCATACCCATCCCCTGGGCGGTAGTCACCCCATACCCATCCCCTGGGCGGTAGTCACAACATACCCATTCCCTGGGCGGTAGTCACCCAATACCCATCCCCTGGGCGGTAGTCATCCCATACCCATCCCCTGGGAGGTAGTCACCCCATACCCATCCCTTGGGTGGTAGTCAAAACATAACAGATAGCTGAGTAAGTTGCAAACTTATAATAGCTGAGTAATTTACTAACTTATGATAGCTGAGTAAGTTACAAACTTATGATAGCTGAGTAAGTTACAAACTTATGATAGCTGAGTAAGTTACAAACTTATGATAGCTGAGTAAGTTGCAAACTTATGATGGCTGAGTAAGTTACAAACTTATGATAGCTGAGTAAGTTACTAACTTATGATAGCTGAGTAAGTTACAAACTTATGATAGCTGAGTAAGTTACAAACTTATGATAGCTGAGTAAGTTACAAACTTATGATAGCTGAGTAAGTTACAAACTTATGATAGTGAGTAAGTTACAAACTTATGATAGCTGAGTAAGTTTCAAACTTATGATAGCTGAGTAAGTTACTAACTTATGATAGCTGAGTAAGTTATTAACTTATGATAGCTGAGTAAGTTACAAATTTATGATAGCTGAGTAGGTTATTAACTTATGATAGCTGAGTAAGTTACAAACTTATGATAGCTGAGTAAGTTACTAACTTATGATAGCTGAGTAAGTTACTAACTTATGATAACTGAGTAAGTTACAAACTTTTGATAGCTGAGTAAGTTACAAGCTTATGATAGCTGAGTAAGTTACTAACTTATGATAGCTGAGAAAGTTACTAACTTATGATAGCTGAGTAAGTTACTAACTTATGATAGCTGAGCAAGTTACTAACTTATG